TCGCCCTCGTCGTCGAACAGGCCCGCCGCCCGCTCGTGGCCCTACGTCGTTGAACAGATCCGCACCCAGTTCGCCTCCTCCCGCATCGATCTTCGTCATCGAGCAGCCCTCATCCTCCTCTCCTCAGATCGAAGCTGCTCCAAACAGAGAAGTCATATCTGGGTTGCTTTGAATCAGATCTTTGAATCAGATCCAACCCATTTCATTTGGGTTTGAGTCCGAAGGTTTTGTTTTCTCTTGACTCGGTATTTTCTGTTAATCTCATTTATTTACCTAATTGCATGAGTATATCACCTCTAAACTATTATCTTATATTCACTGCTTAGAGTATAATTGTGAGTTGAGAGAAACTGAACATGTGGCTGTTGCAATTTTCATATTGATCTTAGAACTTGTGCAATGATAATTAATCCGGTAATTAAATTGTTTGAGATTAGAATTGTTCATTATTATCGTTGCAAGTCTTATTAAAATCCATTTGTCACATTAATCGTTTTAAGTTAATTTCCTACCGAAGATCATGAATTTTAACGAAAACGGTGCCTTATTCAATTTAAATCACTGATTCTAATAGACCCCTTGTCCCGTTTCGCATCACCGCATGCCCTATACCTCATAGGATATGGGTGTCCTATATATCATGTTCTAGTTGGATTTCAACAAGAAAAAACTCAATATGAATGTTCTACCAACACGGCTACTAAAGGTAAGATAACACACGCCCACGAATAGGATGTTGGATATGAGTAGCCACCTAATTTAGAAAAATGAGCTGCCAAGAGAAAGGACTAGTGAGCAGAGGCGGATCTAAATATTGTGTGGTGTCAATGACACCACTCTCTATGAAGGAATTGGAAAAAACATGGGTCTAATTGCAAATGACACCATGAAACAAAAATGAATAACTTTTAACTGTTAACTGCATCAAACACGAAATGAAGTTATCCAGAGTATTTAACTATGCTCAATCAGTTTGGTCATTACATGCTTGAGGCTATCATTATTCAAGTATGTACAAAAATCTTGAATGCTACCTGACGTGTTTTTGTTGCCACAAGCCAAAGGAATGGTGTAAATGGTTGTCACTTGCTGAGTTTTGGTATAACATTACATGGAAAGTTTCAACCAACACTACACCATTTGAAGCAATGTATGGTCGGCCCTCTCCATCTTTGCTATCTTATTTTCCTAAAAGTTGTAAGGTGGAATCTATGGATGCAACTCTTTTTTCCAGAGACATATCTTTACAATTTCTAAAGGATAGTTTGAAAAAGGTAGCAGAACAAATGAAGAGGTTTGCTGATAAGCATAGCAGCCATAGGAGTTTTAATGTTGGGGATTAGGTATTTATTAAGCTTCAGCCCTATTGACAACTGAGTGTCTCTTCCTACAAAACTCATAAGCTTTCTCCTAAATATTATGGCCCTTATCAGGTTTTAGAAAAAATTAGTGAAGTTTCCTACAAGTTGGCCCTTCCTGACAATGCACAGATTCATCATGTTTTTCATGTTCTAATGATCATTTTAGCTATGTTATAGAATTGGTTGATGAACCAGAAGAGATCTTAAACAGGTGATCAGTGGTTCAAGGGAAGAGATTGGTGTCACAAGTTCTAATCAAATGGAAGCAACGATCTCCTTTGGATTCTACCTGGGAATCTTACTGGGATTCTCGTCAAGGGGTTTCCTGCATTTGACCTTGAGACAAGGTCCAATTTAAGGGGAAAGGAATTGTCAGGGCCATCCACGACTGAAGATTCAGTTAGCAATCAGTCAACTGAAGCTAACAACCAGTCAACTATCAACCAGAATTAGTCGACTACCAAGAGCCATTAGTCGACTATCAAGAGTCTGAAGACTTTGAAGCTGAATACTGCCCGAAGACGTTGCGCTGGAGGACCTAGATGCTTGGAAGAGGACTGAACTACAAAACAAGTGGAGGGCTGTTATGCAACTCTTTAAAGTTCAGGGACATTGTAATAAATGTTTGGAAGTTTGTTATAAACAGATAAGACTGTTTGACTGTTTCTGTGTTTGTTAAGTCCGTGCATGTTTTGTGCACGTTTGTTGTTTTATTTGCTTGGAGCTGGAGTATAAAGGAGAGGATGTAAACTGAGATTATTATGAATGAAATAGAATTGTTTTCCTCTTCTCAAACTCAATCAAAATCCTCAATTCTTCCTCAATTCTCTCTCAACTCTATCTTGCAAACTCTCTCTTCAATCTCATTTCAGGTTCCTCATGACCAGAAGCACAACCAAGAGACTCAACAGGGGATCAAAGTCCTCTCAATTGGTATCAGAGCAGATGGAATCTGAAGCAGGAGCTGATGATTTCATGGCTGATCATGAAGGAGCTTCGACAGACGAGGCGGTTCAACAGGGAGCTCGTATGGAGGAGACTCTCAACAATCAAGAGTTCTTCAATCAGATGACTCGTATGGAGGAGACCCTCAACCAATAGGGACTCGTCAATCAAGAAGTAATGGCACAATTGAGGGAAATATCTTCTCAATTGCAAGAACTCAAGAACCCGAAGGATCGAGCAACTCATGGATCAGCAAGCATTAGAGTAAGAAGCGATCAAAGGATCTTAGGGTCAGGGTCAAGAAGTGATCATGGAATTCTTGGATCAGGTAACAGGGATCAAATTCATGAGAATGACCATCAAACATAGCGAAGGGTTGAATTCTCTGGTGAATTCCCAATAATTCATAGCCATGGTAATTCCTTGACCCCAAAAGAATTCATTCTTTAGTAATCAAACTAGTTCAACCAAAGTCTCTAAGATTGGATTTTCCATCTTTTTCTGGTTCTGAGAATGTGGTGTCTTGGTTGGAACAAACTGAATAAATTTTTGGCTACTATGACATCAAAGATGATGAATGGGTTAAAGTCTGTTCTTTTTATTTGAGGGATGAAGCACTACAATGGTTTAGGTGGTTCACAAAAAATCTTGATTATTATCATTATTGGGAAGTTTTCAAAGAGGAAATCATCACCAGGTTTGGACCTAGTGAACTCCTTAGACCCTATGATGCATTCTCCGCCTTGAAACAAACATCCACAATGAGAGAACATCTGGGAAAATTTGAGCAGGCTCTAGGCCTATTAGATGATCAACCCTCTAAGAGACATATATTAGAAAAATTTATAGGGGGATTGAAAGATGAGTTAAGGTATGAGGTAGCTGCTGCCAGACCCTTTTCTTTGAAAGGAACAGTGTCTTTAGCCAAACCGTTTGAAGACAAACAAAGAAATGAAAGGAAAATGGGAGGAAACTAAAATGTTCTTAATCAAGGAAATCCTTTGAACCGTCCCTCTCATGAAAATCCTGTACAAGAAAAAACCAAATTACCTTCACAAGTAAAGAAACTCACTCATGAAGAAATTCAAAGGAGGAGTCAAAATCTCTGCTTTACTTGTGATAAAAAATGGCACAGGGGACACCAGTGTAAGGATAAACGCCTGTTCATATTGGAGGGCATCTTGACAGGGGGAATGGAGGAAGATGGGAATAATTTTACAGAGGATGAGACAGGACAATTAGCAATAGAGCTAGCTGAAAGCTTAGTTAGAGGAGCTCCCTCCATTTCTGTGCAGGCTCTCAGCGGGATAACAGCTTTCCATACAATCAGAGTAGTTGGTTATTACAAGAATCAAACCATTAGCATCTTGATAAATTCTGGTTCCACCCATAACTTCATTAACTCTAAGT